ACACACAACAACACACAACACCAACACAACAAACACAACACCACAACCCAAAACAAACCACAACAACAACCCAACCACCAACACAACACCACAACACCAACGCAGCATTGATTACACAGCGTTGTGGTGTCGGTGGTGTGGTATTGGCAGGGAAGATGGTGTGTTGTCGAAAATGGGGTTTGGTGCGAGCGAGGAAGGGTTACTATCCGTTGACTGTTTGACTGGACACGATTTGAATCAAACTGACGTATTTGCTGACATATTGTTGTTCTTCGGACGTCTTACCTATGATTGGATATTTAAAGGAAGAGGGGCGGATGACCAGGTCATTGCCATTTCCCCTCTTTCTCTAGTGTGTGGTATCCGTTGCCGGGTTGGGAGGGCTGACCGGCTCTCTGTTCGGAATCAGGAATCTCAACGGTTAACCCTCTCCCTCTCCTCTTCTTTTTCCCTCCCCCGCGCTGCTGCCTAACCCCCCCATAAAGTCACATCAGGCTACCATCAACCGAAAGGCTTCTTGGTAGCCCACTGTCTCTCGTTCGAACCTCGTCACAGTTTTCATTGTGAAGGTTCATAGAAGCAAGCTGCACGTCGTTAAAGAGCCGGAAGCAAGTCCAATATTCTCGAACGGCGATGTGGTTGTGGTACCGTACGGTACGGTACGGTACGGTACGGTACGGTACGGTACGGTACGGTAGGCCAAGGCACTTGAGGTGTTTGGTTGGTTGGGTTGGGTTCAGTCAATCAGCTGGAGGCAATAGTATTTCCCTGGAGCGAGTTGATATGGCTCCAACCTTCCCAGCCAGCTCGCATGTGTGCACTAGTACGGTTGTGCCCCAGCTCCTTATACCGCACGCACGGGGACGACTTTGAAGGTTCAGGGTCCCATAACATGATCAACAACAATTCGATTGAATCTATCCTTCGATTTCAATTGATCTGACGGATGGGGAGAGGAGTTGATTGTGTTTCCACAATTCCAACATCGATAGAACCAAGCAGCTGCCAACTTTAGATAGCCAAGACGCAAAAACATGGCGAAAGCTTTCATCGCTCGAACGTGTCATTGACGTCCCCATCGAACACGCATGTGGTATCTTGATCGATTTTTCGCACGTCTATCATGTCCACCACCTTGAGGCAACTGTGGATCAGGTCACCCGGGACAAGGATCGCGGTCTTGGGGCCATCGTGCCGTCGAAAAGATTGTGGAAGAATGGGACAATGTCAACCTCATGCGCCGTACTCACGTACTCACTGACTGGAGCTCATTGATACCGATCTCCCCATGAAGGCTGTCACTGCGGTGCCATCTGCGAAGACTCTGGAAACTGGAAGAGCAAGCTTGTTGCCAAGATGAACAGCAAAGCAAAGTTTGGTGTAATGTGCAAGATCATGGAGCGGTGGTTGCGTGGGATGCATGATTTGGGGCGGACGATAAGATAGTGTTGAGGTCCGTGATGGCTGCTAGGAGTTGTTGTTCGCGTGTAGGCTCGTGGACTTGAAGGTGTTTCGGTGGGCACCATTCAAGGGTGTCAGTCAGTGTTGCACGTGCTTTGGGTTTCCCATACGTATGATGAAACCTCAGCTTGGTAGAACCGTGAGTGATTTGTTTGCTGGCGTCGACGAGTACCGAACAACAAGATGGGAAGGGACACCCAGAAGGGCTACAAGGCCAAGACTCCTGCCGTGATGGTTGCTTGCATGTTAAAACAGTGTCGACGAGTTGTGTCTGGGTACCACTGTCTGGTACCGTACTGGTGCACAACGTCGCATACCGGTGCTTGGAAGCAAACCCAAGGCAGGCAAGTTGATGGTAGCTTGCCAATAACTAACTAGTAACTAGAGACTTGCTCAATAAAAATCTGGACGCTACACTAGTACTAATAAGCGTCCTTCGAGCGGAAGCCTAACCTCCAAGAAATCGTGCAACATACTGCCAGCCAGGAAGAGAATTGCGAAGGAGATTTCCCAATAATAGTGATGCCTGATGTGACCAAGATGATCCGGTCGGAAAGACCACGACGATCATGGTGGCGGTAACCTCCCAGGTCCTAATGCTGCCTGGCGAGAACTTTTGACCGCGTTGATGCGTTTTTATTTATTTATTTGACGGCTACGATCTATCTATCAATCCAGTAGCTGTTGATAAAGACCCCCGAGATTCCAAGAGTATTCTCCCAACAACGTCCTAATGCAAGGTGTCTGGAGATTCATGTCTCGCAACTTGCTCTCGTGAGAAGCTGGCTGGCTGGGGACCCCAGCACGGTCTGCTTCGTTGGGAGGATGCCTCTTCCACTGGAAGATTTGTGCGTTGCGTCTTGACGATCGTTTTGGTGATGTATAGCACGATGATGGTTCTAACTAATATTGATGGATGGATTGGAATGAAAAATCGAATTTTATGCATGCATAAAGTAGAATAGGAATCTCCTACCGTACTACAGAACACTGGTGGGATTGTGATTGACGAGTGTGAAGATGGTATCGAGCGAACAACAGTTGCTGTTGTTGTTGTTTTCGTTGTTGCTGGATGAAGCTTGCTGCGATCCCAGTAACAATTGCAGTGCGGTCTGTCCCTTGTGATTGGCATGTAGAATGGCTCCGGGATAATGCTGCAAGAGTCCTTGTACCAGCCCGGGCGCACTGCGTTCGTGTCGATGATTCTGTACGGCCAAATGAAGCGGTAAATTTCCATGTTCGAGATCGGGCATGGCACAGGGATTGGTCGGTACTGTTCTTACGGCGTGTAAGACTGCCTCTACGGCAAATAGAATCCATTCGTTGCGATCGGATTGGGACGTGGCATTGCGCGGCGTGAGCAACAATTTGAGCAAGGCGGTGGAATCGGGAGAATACAAAAAGTCGGCATTGTTGTTATTGTTGTTGTTTGCCGACGGCAAGAGCAAGGATGTGGTGGCGACTTCGGGTTCGTCTTGTTCGTTGACGACGAGACTTTGATTTTCGAGGAGACAATGGAGGGGTGTCTTGCCGTAGTGGTCATGGTGAAAGACGGCACTGGGATCGACTTGCAAGAGCCACGTCAATTTTTCCTTGAGCATGCGCAACTGTCGACTTTGAAATTGATTGGTCATGATATGATGGAGTGGCAATCGTCCGTCCTTGTCAGTCAATCGAATAGCCGTCGGATCTTCTTCGAAAATCATTTGCGCCACTTCCATTCTCGTCTGCGAGGCAATGGCCACTTGGAGTGGCGCGCGTTGTTGTTCCACATCAATAATCTTGTGCAGACCTCCTGTCGCACAAGTCAATCGACAGTACAATTGCAGCAATTGTCGTCCCGTCGGAATGGGTCTAGCGTCACTCCCATCATTGTCAAAACACGCCGACTGCAGTGCCAGGACGCCTTGATGATCGACATTCCACAGACTCTCCGGACACATGCCCAGTAAAAACGTCAATAACGACTCGTAGTCACTCCACGGTCGTCCTTCCATGACCAATTTGGCAATCACAAAGGTAATGGGCTTGTAGCCATTGTCATCGGCGGCGGCCAAACCGGCGGGATACCACGATGCAATGGCTCGAATTTGCGGTTCCGCGGCAAACCAACAACTCAAATGCAACGGTAACATGCCATGGCCATTTGTCGTTTGTAGCGCTGCAGGGTGTCGTTCGACCAGTAATGTAAGGACCGGCAAACTGTGCAGGGCTTCCACCGTCTCGTACCGGTAGGAGCATGCTACATGTAGTGGAAGATCGCCCAATCGATCGGGCGTCGTTGCCAACTCGGGTTTCGTGTCCAGTAACTGCCGCAAGCCGTCTACGCCACCCTTGTCCAGAGCTTCGCAGATCTCCTTCATGGTGCCGTAGTGATGATGAGGAAGAGGAATGGTGATAGTGATGTTGTTTGTTCAAGAAGAACAAGAAGAAGTGGTAGTCTAGAAGTAGCAGACGGTACGGAATTGTACTGTAGCAACAACAACAAAGCGCTGATGAAGAGGTGTCTATGAAGCTTTCCAGTCGAACTTTTTATGGTGCTGATGCGTGCTCATCGCAGCGCAACTCGCAGCGAACCCCACTCGCGTGAAAATACGCACGCGATCATGGTTGGCACTGTTGCCACCGTCTTTTATCTCACTGGCGGCACTGGAACCTTTTTGACCACATCACAAGGGTCTGATAGCATTAAGCAAATTCGTAAGAGTCATCAATCAAGCTTTTCTATTCAAGCTTTCGATTACCAGAGGGACATTAATGGCCTGTGGCTTACGCATGTGCAGTACAGCTGGATTTCTCTTTTATTCTTTTATTCGCAAATTTGCGAAGGGCAACAGGCTACCGGTACACCGGTACCGGTACGATGTATCGAGCAAACACAATGACGTACAGTACTGCAGGTACTGTACTAGTTTATGTAGAACGATCTGACCAGTTGCGAGCCACATCTCACCGGTCGGATCGAAGCGAGGTTGACATTGTAAGAGTTCATGTATGTAACAGTATCTGCTACTCGGGTACAGCGTACCAGTAAGCCCTTGGGATCGAAACTATGTGAAAAAGTTCTTTGGCCTTATTCCCCAAAACAATTATTAATGAGATACTGAGTTCTCAGAAGCAGTTGAAAGTTACGAAACCGAAATGGATCAGTGGGAAGTGGCAAGTTGGGGCCTTGTCTTTCCAGTGGCACCATGATGTCCGGAGCTACCATGTATGTTTGGACACTTGCATTCGCTACTCCGGACTCCGGAGTACTTGCGCAGCCACCGCAGTCAAAGCCAGCGGTACAATAGAGGTACAATAGCCAGCTCCACCTCATGGTTGGCTGTTTCTCTGATTCGAAACGGAGAGACAGTTGGCATATCCGGACAGCAAAAGGCCACTGTAGCTATTGTGGGCACAACACCTTGGATGGTTGCAATCTAATGTCTCCATCTCATGATGCTTCCCAACTCCTACCGGTACTGATTGACACAGAATCAAGTACACATTCCTCGCTCGTGAATCCTCTCTGGACTGGAGATTGAATGACATCATCCATGATGCATGGCTGTAGTGGTGGAGTAAGTACTGTAGACTACATTTCGCCCAGCATTGCGATTGATTAGATGCCCTGTTTTGAAAGTTTATTCGTTTGTTTTGTTTTTCCACCGGTGGTGACCTTGGAGGGAAGAGGTGCGCACCAATTCGCGCAAACCTCGTCTTACCTGCTTTACCGGCTTCAATTCAAATTCTCTGAAATCGCGCTCATTTATTTATTTTTTGCACCAGACACAAAACAAACTTTGGCCTTTGCCGAACCAAGAAGGCACCATCATGATGCGGCCGCCACCTCGCCATTCTACTACTACTAGCAAATCGCCGAGCAACAGCAGCAAATTGTCCCAATACTTGGACTTTGGATCACAGGATGTAGAGGAGGCGCTTCCAGGTCTCCACACGCTCAGTGAGGTGACAGAAGAAGACGAAGAACGAACGTTCGATGAAAGCTTGAGGCGACAACAAACTCACGACAACCTCTTGGATGAAACTCTGGTGGATCAAGGCAGTATTCTTGGCGGCGTCTATAGTATAGAACAATCATCAAGTCCAGGAACTATCAATAGCCCCCCAAAGCAACTGGAAGGCGAAAGCCTCATCGCCTTCAGTCGATCCAAACAGCTATTGGATGAAACCCTCTTTGAGCAGCACGTCGATCATCAAGATGACGGCAATGATGAAAGGGGTCAAAGTCTCGACAAAACATTGGCAGAACTACAGCACATGGATGAATCGTTGGCAGAGCCAAGTAGCTTTGATCGCTCTTCATCGGCACTATTATTGAATGAGACACTGGCGGAGCAAAACCCCCATCGAAACGAATTTGTGGACAAGTTGGGGCCCATGTACGAGTTCTACCGCAGTGACTTGCCCAGTCAGATTCCAGAAATTCTCTTTTTCATCCGCCACGATGGCAAGTGTGACATGATGCTAGCCGATATCCTCAATGAACTGGCTCATGCACTGTACGAATGCCCCGAACCGACCTGCCAGGCAATGGTCGCCTTGGGTGTCATGTCTTGTATTCGCAAGAGAATTGATGATACCAACCTGGAACAACAATTGCAGACGCTTCGGGTCATGGATGGCTATTGTCGTGTCATGAATGCCGGAAAAGATATTCCACATTTGGTAGAACATGCTATTGTCACTGGTCGACGCTTCCCTTCCAACAATACCATGGCACACTTGGCAATCCGCATTTTGAAGCATGCAGTCCCAGTGGCAAGCTCGCAAGAGTGGTTTCCCACATTGGTCAAGTCCAAAATGATTGACTATGCCGCCAAATTATTGTTGGAACAACAACATTGGAGTGGAAAAGACTTGCGGCTCCAGCAATCTGCCGTTCAGCTGTTGGTGGATGCCAGCAAGTTTCCTTTTGTCCGTCGTCAGGCCACATTTGAGCGGGCTGGAGCCATTGCTGCCTTGCAGACACATGTTGGTAGATTGGGAAATACAAAGGGTGCTGCCTACAAAGAATCTACAAATGCCTTGGAGACTATTCTTCTTTCGTTTGGGGAATAAATAATCAGCCCAACCGACCATTCATACTCTACTGTCCTGTTGGGTTCGAGATTGGGGAAGAGCCACATGGTTTTGTGTACCGGTGTGCTGCTATTTTAGAAGCTGGTATATAAGCTTTTATAAAAGAAATTTGATTGTGCCATGATTGAACATGCATCCTGGCAAGAAGGCAGTGACACAAGTCAACAGGCTGGGGCAAAGAGGCGGCTCGCGGAATTGGTCAAGGTGGCCTTGAACGAGTTTAGGGCTCGCACCTTGGTGGAAAATTTCTGCACATGTGGCTATGTGAGATAGCGATGGCACCAGGGTGGCAAACTGCTGCACCTCTACGGTACGCAGCGCGCCTCCAGGGCTCACACCTTGGCAGCAAAAATATGGCTCACACCTCGGTGGGAGTTTAGTTTTCGGCACGGCTCAATCCACTGGGCGAACACCTATCGGTACCGGTAGCTATTAATAAGTAGGAGGGTTGTTCCAGGACAAGACCGAACGGCTGCACCCTTGGTACCGTGTATGATTGGATCTTGGAGCCTACGCGACGGCCTCTGGTCAATTGGATGACATGCTGACGGAAGCGACGAACTGCTCCCAGGTCAGCGCAGGCTACCGGTACAAGTTATGACCATAGTACAAAGACTCCGCTGTAGGATCATTGCATGCATATGTATGTGACTGTAGCTGCTTGGAATGCTGAGAAATCCATTCCAGCCACCAATGGAAGCTCTCTACCGGTACAATAGAATGAATGAACCGCCCGTCCTGCTTGTAGGTCGATTTCTTGGACTTCCGCTGACCTTCAATACTACAGTACCGTACTAGAAAGAACCCACACACAACAGGATGAAATCTTGCAGCCCACATGAGGCCCCCTACCTCCCGTAGCCAGAGCAGTTACCTTACCGTAGATTCTTGACTTTCAACTCTTGGAGGAGCTAAGGTGCTCTAGTAGTATGTAGGTGTTGTGATGAGGAGACGAGGTACCAGTACCGGTACAGTTCGGTTAGCTGTTCGGTACATGCAGGATATACGTGTACTATTAATAGCTAGTAGGAGTACCGGTATATACTGTACAGACTCGACTCGACTCTTCAGAAAGTGACCTGTAAGAGAGACCCCGAAGAGCATCACCTTCTACACAGAAGCAAGAGTTGCCTAAATCCTATCACACTGTTCTGTTCTCCATGACCAAACTTCGGTGTATCTTTGGCTCTTTGGCATGCACAACATAGCTTGGATCTTGGCATGCTGCTTTTTCAGCTGCTTTTCCAAGCACATCAATCCTCCAGAATCCGGAAGAAGACTGTTGCTACCTTGCAGATGAACGACTCTCTCCTCATACAATCCCCAAGCTAGACAGAGCTTCAAGATTGTCTGCTAGCTTGATTTTGAAACGATGACGATGATTCCTTCGCTACCGTCCCGTCGACCCTCGAGCGGTAGGGTGTTAATCTGGGGTTTGTGTTGTGCCTTGTTGTCAGGACATTGCCAGGGAGACATTGGTCAAGATGGAAGGATATCTCTGTTGGTCGCAGTGCCATTGACCCAAAAGTAAGTGACTGTCTGTTTGTCTCTTGTCGGGGTTCTTTCATACTTCTTCAAGTAAGTGCTCTTTCCTCACCCACCCACGTATACCTTTTGATTCTGATTCCATCAGCAACGAACATGTGGACCCTGGTTGGATGCACATGGCCTCGGCCGTCCTGGCCATGGATCATTTCAACACACGGAATTCCAGCGTGGTACCCGAACTAAGACAGTACCGAGACTGTCCCATTCAATTCGACCCCCATAATATCACCGTCATGGACACGGGCACCAACAGCCACTTGGCCATGGAGCATCTGACACGCCTGGTGCGTCAGGGCTACGTTCCCGACGCCATTGCCGGACCCTACAATGATTTGCCCGCCTTGGAACTCTCCAGCTTCGCCACGGGTCTCAAGGTACCCATTGTCTCGCATCGTGCCAGCAATTACAATCTCGTTCGTCCGGTACAGCATCCCTATTTTACACAACTCAATCCCGATCTCTACGGACAAATGGCATTTTTGGGGCGATATCTGGTGGCGTTGGAGAATCGCTCCAATTACATTGCCGTCGTGCACGGCCTCGACGATGCCACGTTGCAACGAGTGGAAATTTTAAAAGGTGTCCTGTGGGCACAATATGGCATTGACACGGTCCGGACATTTTCCTATCTGAGTCCGGCCACACCCATGGAAGGATCCTTGAACCGGGACATTGCCACGGCACTGCAGGGTGTGAACGACAGTGGATACCGTACCATTATTTGGATGACGGCTCATACCGATGCCGACGTCGTGGAAATGGGAACGGCCGCCGGCAATTTGGGGTTGGATCAGGGACACCATTTGTGGGTCGTCCCGGGGGGCGTCGAAATTACCTACTTTATCTACAACGTTCTCTACCGAGCCGCCAAGGAGGCTGGAACGGAAGAATCGTGGTGGAAATTCTTGCAAGGAGCGGCCTATTTGCGTCTCGTGGATCGATTTCAGGCCCTCGCCGCAAGTGGCGACGATGCCTTCAATCAAACCTTGCATTCGCAGAATGCGTCCTTTGTCCAACGATTGAGAGAACTCAATCCAATTCCCAATTACTTTGACAAAGTGTGGGATCCACAAGTCATGCAATCCACCTTTCCACCCGATGACATCTTTCAACAAATTACGTATCCACTGCCGGGAAGTTCCTTCATGTACGATGCTGTCATGGCCATTGGAATTGGGGCTTGCAACGCTGCCGCGTTGGTATCATCCGTGACAAACAATGACACGACGACGATAACCACCACCAGTATTACTGGGGATGCCTTGTTGGAAGGAATCCAATCCGCACACTTTACCGGTGCTTCCGGGGAAGTTCGATTTCACAATCTACAAGGCAATCCTGGGTCGCGGAATGGAAGCACCGTCTACTATGGTATCTCCAATCTGCTGCCGTTTGGAATTGACGTCAATGATACCAGTCAATTGGCAGAAGAATCAGCGTTCTATCATCCCGATACCCGCGAGTTTGTGCACGTGAACCCCTTTTATTACGCGGACGGAACCACCCATCCACCACTGCCGCTGAGAAACACACCCGATCAAAACTACCTGAGCCGAGGAATACGAGCCGTCGGGCTTACTTTGTTTGGAATTGCCACGGGAGCTGTCTTTGTGTCGGTGGTGTTCATTACGGTCTATCGCAAACACAGAATCATTGTCGCGTCCCAACCACCACTGCTCTACCTCTTGTGCTTGGGATCGGCTGTACTCTCGTTGGACATTCTTTTGTCCTCCTTTGATGAGAGTTATGGTTGGACGGATGACATGTTGGATAAGGCATGCTTGGCCATTCCCTGGATGGATACCATGGGCCATTTGATGGTCTATTGTGCCCTCTTTACAAAGGTACGTTATTAGTTTGGATTGGTCACCCTTGCCACGATCACCAACATGACTGATCCCTGATCTCACATTGCTTCTGCCGCTCCTACAGTTGTGGAGAGTCCAGAGAGTCCTTCAATTCAAACGAAGGCAAATCAAAGTCAGTCAAGTTATGTGGCCTGCAGCCGTACTCATTCTTGCGGCGATCATTATCCTGGCCGTATGGTCTGCTACTGGCGATCACGGTTGGGAACGAACAATCATCGACCCCACAACAGGAGAATCCATCGGGAGTTGCCACATGGGGCAAATTGCAATGTTTGTCATTCCCTTGACGATTGTCAATTTCATTCCAACGCTGCTTACCCTCGTCATGGCGTGGAAGACCCACGACGTAGATGATTTGTATTCAGAGTCCAAATGGATCTTTCCGTTGATTCTGGTCCAGTTTCAAGTGAGTTGCGAATAGTCTTCAACATGTGCTTCCCTGTCCTGTTCAGCGCTTTGTTCTGATCCCTTCTGCCTCTATGTTCCGATCTCCAGGTTATCCTCGTTGGAGCTCCCGTAATGGTGCTTCTGCATAATTTATCCACGGATGGGTATTTCATCGGTTCTGCCCTCATGACATTTACTTTTCCCATTACCAACATGGGCCTAATTTGTCTTCCCAAAATGGTGGCGGTCATCAACGACGGCAAGTCCAGAGACTCCGTTGTGTCTAGAGGTAGCCGTGCCAACGGCAGAGTATCGGGGTTATCCTACAACAATGACACAAACTACAACATAAACGCGACAACGAACTATGAAGTATCGGTAGCGGATCCTACAAATCGGTCATCGAATCCCAGCGCATGCCTTCCGAGTACTGTGGACGATCCTGGCGCATGGATAAATACATCAGCTGACAACACTCCGCAAAGTGCACCACCGAATGCGGCCGTACCAGTACCCTTGCCGGACACAAAGATGCAAATTGTCACAATGCATTAACAAGGGAAGCGAGGAAGGAACCTGGGGATTTCTTTCACTATGCACAATCTCTTCAACGTCACTTCACATCAATGTACAATAACATCATGTTTATCTAAGCAGTTTCAAACTGGGCGCTTGGTGGTTACTGTTTGCGATCTAGCTAGCTGGACTTGTCCTCAGGACAAGTGTGCTTAATCGGGTACGGCAAATGTTGATTCTGGATCCAAAAACTTCATCAGGACATTCTTCGTTAACGTCGAGATGTCGTTTTGGCAGTTGTTTGTCAACAAGGAGCCACAGTAAGTGATGGATCCAGTCGAAAAGACAGCGCCCCCGCTGAGCGTTTCAAAGAAGGTGATGTCAGCCCGAATCAAGTCTGAATCGGGCACTCCTGCCATATTGCCGTGATGGGTCAACCGTTCCTCAAACACCAGCAACCACTTGGCATCCTCTGTGTGACCTTCGGAGCTTGCCAAGATGATTGCATGTTCCGGAGTCCCCAACGACACATCGGCCCGATCTATCTCAAACCCAGCCGCACCATGTCCGGAAAGGCCGTGCTGGCCAATAATGTCCTTGGTCTCGTCGTCGAAGCCGTGGAACATCCAAGCAACTCGTGGATTGGAACGTATGTTGTCGCGTAGGCGATAATAAGAACCAACAAAATCCCCTTGCGCCGAAAAACCCACGCCTACGAGTGCTTGCGGCGCACGGCCATTGCGTCTCCACAACCCGCCATATTGACCATCGAGTTGATGATAGTATTCTCCTGGAGGAGACGCCCATGCTCGGACTCCTCCTTCGCCTCGTCGGATCTCCAACATGGGAACGTCTTTGCCGTGGCCCACTGCAATCTTCCAATAAAAGCCATTGCCACCCATGTAGACTATTCGTCCGCCATTGTTGCGATAATCTCGAAATGCATTGAGGGACTGTTCGGAATGATACTCTGGATGAGAGCCAGTCATGACGACACGGTAGGGTTCCAAGACGGAGTAACCCTCGTTGTGCAATTCCCAATCGGTGACAATGTCGTAGGAAATCCCTTGTTGCTCTAGCCAGGCCGTCACATGAGTATCGGCGGCATAATGACGCAATCCCGAACCGGCCCAGTCCGGATAGGGGAAGGTAATGTATCCGATGCGTAGATTCAAAAGTGGCCGTTTCCAAGACGACAAACAAATGCCGCTGCCATCGGCGTGATTGTTGTAGGTCGACCAGCCATAGTCGCCGTGTTCTCGTGGATTGTAGGGATACGCGCCCGGTATCTGTTGCGCTTGTTCCTTCCAGGCGGATTTCCAATTTGGATCATCGATCCATTCCCCACGAGCATGATTGCCGTAAATGATATAGGTGAATGTCGACATGACCAGGACCAAGTCGGCTTGCTTCGTATTATTATTGTTGCCCTTGGGTGGTACTACAAAGAAGGGAATGTTTTCTTGGGACTCATCCGTGTGCAACAACAAGGCATAATTCCCCGACGGAATGTCGGATGGGATCTTCCATTGATAGCACACGGGCCAATGGCAATCGGCCAGATCCGTTTCGGCATGAAAGTGAATGGCCGCGTAGTCATCGGGTGCATGCCGCCAGCACATTTCTCGTCCACTCCAATTGGATCCTCGTACGCCTCGCGTAGGACAATTGACGACTGTGCCGTGTAGCTTGTGTGGGCCAAAGTCTTGCACGGTTTGTGTGGAAATACCCCGTCCAAAATGCCATTGGGCATCGGGAGGGTGCGCCTTCGCCTGCATGACGGCATGTGTTCCAATATGCAGCTCTGGAAATACAGGAGTGGTCCACCATAACCAAGGGTGTTCCATGCGTCCTGTAAAGTGATGGATGCACATGGGAGGTTGTGTTGGTGTGGAGCTCTTTTTGGCTGCCAAGTAGAGTGTCGTCTCCTCGCTAGTTGTACTCTGTTCCAATGAGATTTCTTCCTTGACAGACTCCCCTTTTCTCCCCTTGGAAACACCAGCAGAAGAACCACTGCCATCCCTGGTCAACCAATTCCAACCCACCAGTGCCTCCCTCTTTGATTCGTCTTCCTCTAGCAGAGCAAGGCTACAATAGATTTGAATCCAGTGATTCTTGGGAAGGACGCGTTGGGAACAGCAGAGTGTTGTAGTAGTATTGCTGCTGCTTGTTCCAAACTGAGCACACAAATGCCCTTTTGGGTTGATGTAGACCTCCAAGACGTTTTCGACGAATGCAATCGTTTGTTGTTGCTGTCCAGTTGGAAGAAGCGTCGGCATGATGGCAACGGCAAACGTCATGTCCTTTTCCAACGCGTGCAGCGGCAATGGAAGTTCGGCATGAGATCCTCGTTGTGTCACGCAAGGGCCCGGTTCGTTGACGCAGTCAATTTCCGCATCACGAAGGGGGACTGTTTGAATGCCAGGTCCTGGGTTGGTGTGAGGATCGGCGCTAATCACTCGTACCACGCTGGTTTGGACCTTGTTGTTTTTCTTGGCTTTTGTTGCTTCATTATGGGAGACATGAAATGAGATGGTCTCGCCAGCCCGTACAGAGAGCCGATCTGCGTAGCCTGTCAAGGGGATGGTCATGACTATGCAGGTGAGTGCTACTGGTACCGTGTGGATGCTTCGTCCTTCAACTCATAGTCGAAGGGCAAGAGACAAGCCACGCTCACAGGTGGGGGATCATACAGTACATGGATCTTTTGGATCTTTCGAAAGATTTAATGAAGACAGAGAGCCCACACGGGACTCGTATGCAAGGTTTAACGTCAGAAGCCTTCTAAGTCTTCTTCCTCCGTCTGGTACAATGTTGGCCAGGTCTCATCATCTTTGCAGGTTGGTTGAATGCTTTTGCGTTGCTGCGTTGCTGCGTTGCTGCGTTGCTCTCCCCTGAAACCAACAACGAGCAAGCTCTAACCACATAGTAACCCGTTACAAACTTTATACTAGCCAGTAGCAACAGAACAATAAGGCAAAGATGCAAGGATCTCAGCCAGTTGCTTTGATGGCAATGCTCATCTTGGTCATGACTCAGTTGCTGCTGGATGAAAGGTTTCTGTCCGTCTTTGCAAACACACACAGGGCACCACAAGAGAGCCGTGGGCTACAAGCAATAGAGGAAACACACAACAATGTTGAAAGTGACAGCACTGATAGCAGCAATAGCTCTTTCCATGACGAATGTGCTTTTGCTCGCAATGTTCCTTTCTCCAACAAACCTCCAACCACGACTGTCATTGTTACTTCCAACCTGATCCCCACCATGCCCTCTACTGCCGTATTGGAGGACACACTGGACTCATTATCCATGCTCATTGGACTGGAGCCCAACACACCCATCATCATCGCAGTGGATGGAATCCAGCCTCGGCTCGACACACCTGAAAACCGACAGCGACTTCAAGATTGGGTCTCACGAGTTCGCTCCATGTTCAAATGCCATCCCAATGTCCAGATTCTCACGTCATTTGTTCCTCTACACATTAGCAACACTCTTCGAATGGCCATCCAGCAAGTCACAACTGAGTTTGTTCACATTATGGAACATGATTTTCCCTTTACCAAGGAGATTGATCACCAGCTGCTTGTCAACGCCCTTCGAGATGTTCCAGAACTACGGATCATTCGATTCAGCAAGCGCCTGAATGGTGGGGTACGAAATCGTGCCCCTTGTACCCGCAACCATACATATGCTGGCATGGACTTTCACTTGATTCGATGGTCCAACAACAATCACTTTACTACCAAAAAATACTATGACTGGCTTTTGGAGGAGATTGGTCCTGTCCCCCGTGCCCCCGAAAACAGAATGATGGCACAGCAAACCAAGAACTGCACCTTGTATGGGCAATATGCATATGGGCCTATGAATGATGGATTTTACTTGCATCATATTGATGGAAAGAGGGAATCGTACAACCGAACCTACATGTTCAATAATCACAAGAGGTGTCCCAATGCGACGGCCGCCGTACCATCGTCGGTGTTGCCATGGGTTCGGTGTCCAATGTAAGCTAGTCAGGTTGAGCGCTGAGTAATCAACCATGATACGTAAAGTGCCCAATGGGTTCCAGGGTTTCCATTTAGGCAAGGAAAGGTCCATTTTGGCTACCTCAACTTAAGTGGTTTGCGGATTGGGAACCTCTCTCAGTTGAAAGATTGGTAATCAAGGACTACATCTAAAAGCCAGGTGCCCAATGGTTTCTTTGGTTACCAATTCATAAACCTTCTATCCAATTTATTGCCTGCTATCTAGCTAGATGAGTCAGTTGTCCTCTGGAATTGGCCAAGTCAAGGACTTTGCCAAATCCACCAAGTCCTCGTCGACGATGGACAACCAACTTGTGCATGCAGGAAAATGGGTACCGACAAAGGAATCACCACCAAAAAACTAGCACATAGCAAGGAGGGATGAATCCAATAGGAGGATCCACTCTTCTCTGTGCGCGCGAGTTGTCGTGTAGCCTCCTCCTCCGGTTGACGACTGTTGCCATTCAATGACTCGACGACGTTTGCAGGCTGGTGATAGGCAAGAGTTATCAGAGCTTCGGTCGACAGCAGCCTCTCCTCTCTTGTAGTTATCCGGAGCGACCGATCGTTCGAAAAGGACTGAGTCACTCCACAATGGTATTTCGTCGGCCGTCGACAGTGCAGCAGCGAAAACAACAAACGAGCTTTGTTTTCTGTGCTGAACTGAACTGAAGAAAACCGGCGACTCACTTACTTAGTCTACCCTTGTTTTCAAATTCCACCAACTTGACGGTCAGCGCCAAGAAACGACTGCCATCGGATAGTCCATAGGATTCAATGAGGGATGCAGCACCGGAGACGGTCAGCTTGAGTAAGGCTGATAGTCGAGGTGCGATCGATCGACTCCAATAAATAAAAGAACCCACCACACAAGCCACCTCTTGTTGGTACGGCTTGGATTTCTCTCCTGTTTACCATATGAATTCAACGAGGCAGAAAAGTCAGTGCTACGAGACATACCGGTACCCGTAATAGTACATGTAGTAGAACCAGTACCCATTGAGGCTATGGATTTCCCACAGAAGCTCCTCTGTGGCATATATCTGTGGTATATCTTCCTCTTCCAAGTTCCTCTCCCGGTGACAACAATCTTCCAACAGCGTCATCTCACAAAACCACCGCATTGAAAGCTGTGTTTTGGCGATGCGGCAGTTTGTGAGTAAACTTCTCACAATAATAGTAATGATATGATACTCGAGAACTTTTCGTTCAGTCACTTTTGCTAGCTAAAACCGTATGACAACACCTACCTGTTACATGTATGATATGACCGAGGAAGAGACTACTTGAGCAAGAAGTCGACTGCCTTTGGAGCTACCACCTACTACTAGCTAGTACGGAGTAATCTTCGCCACATGCATTTGGTTGATCGAATATTGACTTCGAAATTTGATAACATTTGACCTACCATTTCGACATTCCTTCTTCGAATAGCAACAAGTCCTCCTTCAGCATCTCATCGGAGGTGACAGTTCAGTCTCCGGGGTGACTCTCTGCTAGCTAGAGCACTGTAGCGGCTTTCCACCATTCTGGATTGTCGATCGTTCGAACAGATTTGGTCCTTGATCCCCCATTCCCACCTACCGGTTGCAAATCCTCCCTAACCTTAAAGGAGGATTTCGAAGCATTCCTTAAACCTTTTGATCGTCCCTAAATCCTCTCATTTCCTGAGAGTTGGTTGTGTTGCTTGTTGCATGTTTTGCTTTGCTAGCTAGCTAGCTAGAACGGGATTATGAGACTTCCCAGAAACCCAACGATGCAAGGATCTCAACCGGCCGCTTGGATGGCAATGCTGATCTTGGTCATGACTCAGTTGCTGCTGGATGAAAGGCTTCAGTCCGTCTTTGCAAACATGTACAGGGCACCACAAGAGAGCCGTGGGCTACAACTGATAGAGGAAACACACAACACTGTTGAAAATGATAGCAGCTATAGCTCTTTCCATGATGAATGTGCTTTTGCTCGCAATGTTACCTTCTCCAACAAGCCTCCAACCACGACTGTCATTGTTACTTCCAACCTGATCCCCACCATGCCCTCCACTGCCGTCATTGAGGACACACTGGACTCATTATCCATGCTCATTGGTCTGGAACCCAACACACCCATTATCATTGCAGTGGATGGAATCCAGCCTCAGCTCGACACACCTGAAAGCCGACAACGACTTCAAGATTGGGTCTCACGAGTTCGGTCCATGTTCAAATGCCATCCCAATGTCCAGATTCTCACTTCATTTGTCCCTCTACACATTAGCAACACTCTTCGAATGGCCATCCAGCAAGTCACAACTGAGTTTGTCCACATTATGGAGCACGATTTTCCCTTTACGAAGGAGATTGATCACCAGCTGCTGGTCCGCGCCATTCGAGCTGTCCCAGAACTGCGGATCATTCGATTCAACAAACGCGGTAATCATCACTGGAAAAGTCTTGTCGGTTTAGCCGCTTGTGCCCGCAACCATACATATGCCGGCATGGACTTTCACTTGGGTAAATGGTCCAACAACAATCACTTTACCACCAAAGCATACTATGAATGGCTCCTGGAGGAGATTGGTCCGCATCACCCTGCCCCTGAAGCCAAAATGATGACGATGCAAAATAATAAGAACTGCACCTATTCAACCTGGTATGGGCAATACATGTATGGGCCTGTGGAGGATGGACGGTACTTGTATCATATTGATGGAAAGAGGGAATCTTACAACCGAACCTACATGTTCAATAATCACAAGAGGTGTCCCAATGCCACGGCCGACGTACCATCGTCCGTGTTGCCATGGGTCCGGTGTCCAAGATAAGTGCAATATAAATGACAATCTACATTTTCATGCAATTCCTGTTGTAACATCAATAGTTATATATATTTAGTAAGCATGCATGCTTGTCACGAGAAGCAAACCAACGCACGCATCATGTTGGTGGGCTCGTCCCAAGAACATCCATGCTTCTGTGTGTATAGATTGCACTACCGTACTTCGTTGATCTTGATCCGACCATGCAGATGTGCTTCGTGCGAGCAGTGCCCCACGCCACGAAAGCTGCCAGCTGCACCTCCTGTCAGATCCATACTAGCTAGAGGAGCTCGTCAGCGATAAGACCTCCATTCACACTTCGGCTGTTGTTGTACGTATCTCGGGTGTTCCAGAAATGCTGTTCAGCATCATCATCATCGTCATCCTCGTTGCTACTCATCTCATTCACAATTCCAATCGCCCTTTGTTGCGTGAGAAACTCTTCTTCGGTCATGCCAAAGGGCACGGTCTTTTTCTGTGGCACTGGCGCCGATGTCTGCATACCATTGCTTACCCAGGAAGCTCGTTCGGAAAAGTATTCGTCTTCGGTCATTCCCACGTAGCCTTTGCCATCGGCGGTGGGTTTCTTGACGCGAGGCGCCTGCGGGACAGTCGACGCGGAGTTTTGCGGCAAATTGGTGGGTCCTCTACTGGGCCTCTTGCGAAATCCAAAAAGGTCGTCCGGACCGGGAAGGTCTTCGAGCAGAATGGTCGACTTGCGGCTGGGCGGCGGTGGTGTGTACGCGGGTGCCTCAAACTTCGAAGGAGTGTTCTCCACACGGATCCCTCTGGCGGCTTGCGGGGGTTCCACTGTCCTGGGACCACGTTTGCCGTTTTTAATTTTGGGAGCCGGGACATCCTCCAACTGCACTCCCCGGCCACTGCTGGGCGTCGATTGGGAGGCAGATGGCTTGGAATCATCGAGCCAGACACTGTTTCCCTTGCGACTGTCAATGGTGCGTGCCGTTTTCTTCTTTCTCTGGGTGGGTTGAGGAGTATCTTCCATCCAGACACTATTTCCTTGGCGGCTGTCAATGGTAGTCCTCTTCTTGTGCTGCTTCGGTTCGGGTGTTTCCTCGAGAAACACATTCTTTTGACTGTTTCCAGCACTATTGGAACCTGCCTCATTCACCGATGTCTCAACGACGTTTCCTCTCTGCGGATCTTGCCGAGCGTGGGCGGACTGCATGGCAAAGAACTCTTCTTCGGTGAAGCCTACATAGCCAAACGACTGCAATTTTTCCTTTTCCGCCCGTCCTTCGGCACTCATTTCCACCCTGATTTGTTGACCAATCTGTTGTCCAGGATTCTCTCTGGCTTGTTCGAGTCTCTTGACCAAATCCGTCTTTTCAAAGCAATCGTCGTAGTCGACTCCCCACGAATCGAGTTCGTCCTTGATTTCTCGGACTCTCATCTTGGAGGGATCTTCACCACTGCTGACAGGATCGGTAGTTACAACGGTGGTTGCCTCACGAACCGTCTCGATGGGTTCCACCACAATCACATCCACTTCTCCCATTCGTGAAGCAGAAGCAGACTGACCCCATGAGGGTTTCGTGATATCACCATCATCGACAAAATCTTCTTCGTCAAAGTCGTCGTAATCGTCCATGTGCAGGACAACCCGTTCTCGTTGGTTCTGCAATAACTTGTGATGACCGACGACCGGTCCTTGCAACGAAAAGGCGTGGGTTGTAGCGACCAGAGCCGCAAGAGCGACCAATGGAAACTTCATTTTCGTGTCTTTTTTGATGTATTATTACTTTTCAGCCTGGGGGATTATAAATGAATTGACACAAGCTGCTTGCTTCACAACAACTCCAACAACAGATGTGACAGGTGGTCGAAAGACGTCGTCCTGTCGAATGAGAATAGAACTGGGCAACTCAACCCAGATGCGGACGAGCAACCAATGAGACGACCGAGCAGACGTCATCGCACACGAAATGATGAAAATGACGTACATGTAGAAATCAGTAACGGTGCGACAGGTATCCTTCCGCACAGCGCATCATCCAACGTCATTCACACGTTTCTGACGTCATGATGTCACGCCAGGTTGTGACTTTCGCTCTTCGCTCTGAAGGTCTCAATTTTGACTATTTTATACCAAAACCCCAAAAGATCTTTCCAGCCAAACACGCGTCCAATGGGTTCAAGCAACATGTTTACAATGCGGCTGAAAGTGGAACCTATTTGGAAGTGTTGAAGTGGGCTGGCGTGAAATGGTCGTCCATGGAAGTATACATGTAGCACTGTGCCTGTGCTGCTGTTGAAAATAATGAACATTTGGAAATTCTAAAGTGGGCTGAGAAAATGGTTGTCCATTGGGATGAAGGGACATGAGGCATGCCGAAATAGCAAGCCAAGGTGAACTGATCCAGTGGCTAGTACGTGACAATGGCTGCCCTGAGCCGTCTGCAATGACAGCGAATGACACCACTATAGTCAACATCATAGAAATAAGGCTGGTCAGGTTAGGAAATAAATTGAATCAAAAGTAGAAATTAGCTCATGTTTGCCCCTACCTTAGGTATCAGGTATCTAGCCACTTGCTTAGTGTGGCATGGGTGGAATGCATGGACAACTCAGAGCAGTAGTGGAGAAGCTGCTGTTCCGTCGGAGGTGCCAACCATGATGAACCTGCCGAAAACCAGGAAGGAAACAACGGCGAGATGACGGCGGCGCCAACGAAGGAGGAAAAAGAAGGACCTGAAGAAGCAAATCCGGAGTTTCTCGCAGCCTTGCCGTTTTCAATTCATCCTAAATCCGAAAACCCGCGAAAGATTTTGCCGCCCTTTGCTATTTTTTGGCCAAGCAAGTGCCAAGCAAGTGCCAAGCAAGTGCCAAGCAAGTGCCAAGCAAGTGCCAAGCAAGTGCCAAGCAAGTGCCAAGCAAGTGCCAAGCATCTACAGCGAAACACCACGACCTTTCCTTCCGAGTGTTCATCCATCTCATCCACTGATAGCTAGTTTGATAGATTGTTACTGTACTGAACCATCGAATCGAAAACAAATCAACATGTCCTGGACCCTTCAAAGCTGTTGCGATACCCGAGAAATTATCTTCTTGTGCTGTTATGGCGGGTATGCTCTGTTTACGCTCTTGTTCGAAAAGACATCGCTGCTGAAGCCGATGCGGTTGCTGGGAACGTTCATTCATGAAATGGGTCACGCATCGGCTTGCTGGATGACGGGAGGCAGTGTCAAGAAGATTGAAGTCTACAACAATGAAGGTGGTGTGACGGGATACACGGGTGGTGTCCGATTCATTGTCATTCCAGCTGGATACGTGGGATGTGCCTTTTGGGGTGGATGCTTTGTCGCACTCAGTGGTCATCGCATCGGTGCTACTGTAGTAGCCAGTATCATTACAGCGGCGCTGCTCGTTTCTCTATGGTGAGTGCTTGGATACTCTATTGGAGTTATTATTATGTTTGGTTTTTGGGGTATCCAAAGAAGAAAAAACATACCATCTGTCTTCTAACTACTTGTGTTCTTTCTGATGAACTATCTACAGCTACAAACCCAACACCGTGGTGGTGGTCATTACTCTCTTTTTCTCGGCCATCAATCTCACATTGCTCTTCATTGAGTGGTATGTGTTCCATCCTATTCTAGAATTTGTGGCACTCTTTTACGGGGTCTTTATTGGATGGCATGCGGTGAGTAGACCTACTCTGTTCGTTTGGTTTTGGGGTTTTCTTGCTTTTGCGTCTCTCAATAACCCTTTGGTCGCTCACGTATTATTGTTTCGTTTGCCTAGGTCCGCGATATCTACGACGATTTGATTGTTCGAACAGCCGAAGGGAGTGATGCCGTTGCCTGTCATCAACTC